TTTCTAACCGAGGGGATTTTCTGAGCTAAATCAAAAAGGTGTGAAAAACACCCAAAATCGATCAAAACCATGGGCTATAGTCCATGCTTTTTGGCCAAAAAACATCAAAAATGACTATATTTCAAACTGAGGGGATTTTCCCAGCTATATCAAAAAGGTGTGAAAAACACACAAGATCGATCAAAACCATGGGCTATAGTCCATGCTTTTTAGCCAAAAAACATCCACAATGACTCTCTTTCCGAGGGGATTTTCCCAGGGAACTCAAAAAGGTGTGAAAAACAAGAGAGACAATGGTGTATACTGAAACCGGTATTTTATTTCTGCATTGATAATCATTTTTCAAAAGATATTTCACATTACAATAGCACACAGGTATTCGAGAGGTTGTAGCAGAAAATGGTGGACTTTTTCGTAAGAAATACACCTTGATTAAGGACTGTACTGAGAGGGTAGAGCTACACAAACTACAGAAAAGTTTGAGAATCAAAAATGTTTTATTCTTCCTTTTCGTTTGTCTGTTCTTCAAAGGTTGTCAAAGAGAAAAAATCAAAGGACATCGCCAAGATGAATACACTAAATCATGGATGATTTGACGAAGGCTCAAAGTAATTCATCGAATGGTTAAAAAAACATTTTTCAAACTAATTTTCTGATCATGGTTCGTCTTTACTCGCTGTATTTCGCTCTGGCAAACCTTCTAAAAAAGTTACGGTTTTTACAGTCAAACTAAGAAGACCGTGAACAACTAAAGAATGACTGGAATGGTAAGTAACGTGTTCTGACCAATCAGATGCGAGAATGAATTCGTTTCTATTTTATTCTTGCATGTGATTGGTCAGAACACGATGTTCAACATTCCAGACATATTTTAGGTGTTCAAGGTATTTTACTTTGGCTGTAAATCCTAATCGAAGGGGAAAAAAGAAAGAAATTACTTGGAAATTCATTTGAAGTCATTTAATGCTACGACCTTGTTGACCAACATACGGTGATGGAAGGTCCCTCGCGTGGTGAGCACGAGGAACTCGCTTACGCGCGAGTCTTGAGTAACCAATAAATCAGCTCGTGATCGAGACGCGTCGTGTCAAGACCAACCAATAATCATCGTGAAAAAAATATGATACGTTTTGTTAATCATGTAAGGTTTCTTCTGAGGGTGGGACATAGGTGAAGCCAACGAATGCATCGTCGGGATCGTCCACACTTGCACTCACGAAATTAGAATCAGCTGATTTACCCACCGAACCTAAAAAATAAACAACAGGATAGATGAGGATTAAATTAAGACATGGCATGGTACAGCAGGGATCAATTTTCTCTCGTCAAGAATAAATTTCGCCTCCCACAGAGGGCTTTGCACCGTCACGTGCCAACGCCCAGCTTGGACTGCCTGTGGTTAAATGACAGAACAACAAGATCCATTTACTCTCGTGAATTGAATTCTTTGTTAAGTAAAATGATTATATTGTTCCTGCCATCTAACATGGCTGCCATCACGTGATGGTGCAAAGCCTCTATTAAGCTGCCTGTGGATAGATGGCAGAACAATAAAATCTCTTTGCTCTCAGGAATTKAATTCTTTCTCATGTAAAACGATTGTGTTGTTCATGCCATCTAACATGGCTGCCATCACGTGATGGTGCAAAACCTCTATTCCTTTGCTCATTAGGATTCTGCCTACACTTCTGTGGGCACAGCACAATCACAATACAATGCGTCCATACTCAGCTTTTTTAGTTCTAAGAACAATGCTCATAAGTGTTCTAGAGTATGGAGCATTGTCAAGAATAGCTTAACTGGATCCCTTTCTATCACGTTAAGTATTAGAAAGATAGAAAACATTTTCTCTAGTGTGTCATTGCTGAGACGTTTGCATAAAAATTGGATTTTCTTAAGAATAATAATATTCAGTGCCCTAAAATCGTTCTAGTGGAGAGTTATCAGAATTTTGACTTGTGCCTAAGGATTAACAAGAATATAAACACAAAGAAAGAGATAAAGYAAAAGCTTTTCAACTTACCAGGTACTGGCTCGCGAACAAATTCTGGGTCGAAATGTTTTAAGTCCAGCTGCCCACTCTGTTAAAAGAACACCAGATTAATTAATAAATGTCACATTCCCTCTCCCTCTTTCCCAAGAAGAATGAGCAATGTCCCTGAGGGAATCCTTGGGGAAGGAGGGAGGACGGGGGGTAACTGAGCAAATTCAATTGGTAGGAGAGGGGAGGGCAAGAAAGGTAACGATCTTGTTTTCACTGGAAAAACATTAAGAGCACTACACTACACTRCCCTACCCTACCTGACCCAACCTGACCCAACCCAATGCATACTGCTGGTGGAAAGTTTAGGAACATTAGGGTTGTATGGTGGTTCTATAGTTTCATGTACCTACCACATTAGGGTTGTATGGTGGTTCTATAGTTTTGTATACATACCACATTAGGGTTGTATGGTGGTTCTATAGTTTCATGTACCTACCACATTAGGGTTGTATGGTGGTTCTATAGTTTTTGCCACCAACATCTCCCAGTTTATATTCCTGAAAAATTGTTGTGTCTTGATCTCATCCTGTTATAGAAAAAAAGTAATCCGCATCAAACCTGCCACTAATAATCGTTGATCAAAGAAGAAATAAAAAATACAAGCAGAGTGTGGGGTTAACTCAACAGTTCTTGTAAGAGGGATGCTATCATGCGAAATCAATCGCTTAAAAACATCATCAAAGATAGTTTGGGTGTCTAATATACCTTTTTCAAGTTCCAAATCACTGCTGTGTTTCTTGATTCGAGACACGTTAATTACAAGGTTTACTTTCGTATCAGTGTCAACATATATTCACAAATACCATTTGTAAAGTAAAGGATGTACAACTTCAACAATAGGAATGCTTTGGAATTTTACAGATCTTCACTGGAACACATGAATATTCTGCATAACATCGATGCTAAGCCTGAGCGCTATCTAGAGAACTTGACACAACAAGTTTCACATCAATGTATACTTACAAAGTCAGCTTCCCCAGAACCTAATCTCTTAGTTTTGTCTTTTTGTAGCAGCTACAATACAATATACACAAGTTACATTAAATGTGTTCGCTACATTTTCCACGTCCAACATATTCCAGGATTCTCATATGTTGACTCGAGCAACAAATTTTTTCCCTGCGTTTTCCCAGCAGCATAAGAAATGCTAATGATTCAATAGTTTGTTTAAGAAAAAATGTGTCCTTACCCCTTCTAGAATAGTGCGTGCACTCTGTGAGATGTTGGTTCTCAGACGAAGAGGCTTGTGTAGAATATTATCATACATCTCAGCAGTATCTCGACTGTAGAATGGTGGCTGTCAAACAAAACAGAAACATCAACAAAAAGAAGGGAACATGGTACACGTCCTTTGGAAAGTAACATYTTCAGCAGGTGAAACTTTTGTTTCTGAGATGATCAACCACGTCTGCCCTGGTCTGAACACCTCTCTATGAAGATGTTCAAAGGAGAGATTCACTCAAGTTTTCTACTGATATGGAAACAAAAGTCAAGTACTTACCAGCCCATACATCATTTCATAGAGCACAGCACCCAAACACCACCAATCTACTGATTTGTCATACTCCTGTTTGCGAAGCACTTCTGGTGCTAAATACTAAAAAAAAGAATGTTTAAAATATAGAAATAAGATGTTGCAGATCAACATTTGGATTGAAACTTGATCATTGAAACATTGATACTTTGACTCTGTGATGAATTTTATAGTGATCCTACATGTATCTTGGCCATTCTATTCTCCATTCCCATTCACTAAATCCCAGTCCCATTTTTTAAATATAAAATCAGTTCGTGTCTTATCCCACCCAGCAACACGCCGTGACAGAAACCATGGAGACAATTTACTGGGAACATGGGGGTGGGGTGGGGTGTGGTTATGGGGGTGGGGTGTGAGTCATGGGAGGTAGGGTGGGATGTGTGGTATTTATGGCAAGGCAAATACAATCTGTATAGACAGGAGAAGGTTTCAACACTCAGTTCTCTAAAAAAACTTTTATATGTGAAAGACGCCTAGAGTTCAAGTCAAAGCATCCTTGCAGGCCATGAATTAATGAGCTAATTTTTATGATGTTCTAAAAGAGTCAGTGACATAATCTTACCTCTGGTGTGCCACAAAATGTTGATGTTGTACCCTTTCTGTCAATACCTTCTTTACATAGACCAAAATCAGTCAGGACAATATGACCCTGTGGACAAACATCAGTGACAAATGCTTAGAAATGACGATGAAGATGATGATAGTTACAGTGTATGACATCAATGGTGATAGTGATGTTAATCATGACAGTGATGATGATTATGATGATGATTATGATGATGATAATGGCAAAGAAAGTAATAATGAAGTAATAAGAAATAAGTGCAAAACTGCAAAATTTGCAAGTTTAATATAAGTTTGCTTGTTTTATTATGCTGTTAAAACACTATATTCAAACTTAATAGGCTTATTCACAAACACAGACCTAGCTCCTAATCATTCATGGCATACTGCTCAACCTCCAACAATAATAGTTCTCTTGGGCATAATGTTTTCCCATAACAGACCACGTGTCATTCCCTAGAGTATAATTTCTTTGTTTAACGACACATAAATAAAGACATAAATTTGGATAAAACTCAAACAAAGAATCTCATTCTCAAGAGAATGACATGTGGTCAGAAATGGGCAAACATTACGCCAAAGGTAAAGAGGTCTATTGATTAACCATTATATTGCACTCGTAACTTATGAACTTACAGCACTCGAAGAGCAAATTTTATATGATTGTGAAAAGCTTGCGGCACAAATGTGCTGTGATACATGTGCTATCATCATAACAGCACTGTTTTCAAGCATTTTCGATGGATAAGCATTAGATAATAAGATCTGTACTGTGACACTGTTGTGTGCTATGCCATTTCTTAGTTACACAAATATACATGTATGTGAAACTTACAATATCGCAACTAACCTTTGAGTCTAACAAGATGTTTTCTGGTTTCAAGTCTCGATAAATGATTTTCAGAGAATGCATATGACCAATTGCCGAGGCAATTTCTGCAGCATAAAATCTTGCTCTGATAAGAAAAGCAAACAACAAAAATAATAATGTCAAATAAAAAACATGACCTTAATATTTATCAATGATTATCAGTTATTATTAATGGAATAATAATATCTATGCGTACCTGGATTCTGGGAAATATCTTTCTCTTTGCAAATGAAAGAATAACTGAAATTTWAAAAAAATTCATATTAGTAAAAAGTTGGATAATGGACTTCATGAAAATGGGGGGAAGACAGTGGTGTGAAACAATATATGAAGCTTTATACATAGAGCTGACAATACTGCTATCACTAAGAAGGTCCTGCATGCGAAGCTGAGTAAGAAATACTACAGTGACCCATGGCTAAAGATTGTACAGCTGTTTGGAACATGGACCAAGAAACTGATGCTGTCCAAAACTGAGTTCAACCAGATGATCCATCGATGGTTCATCCTTAGTTGACCAAGTCATCATTAGAGAAATATAAGTACTGCAATGTATTGCCATCTGTGTTTAACACAAGGGCTAACTACCCATTTACAGATATTTAGAGCAAAGACAGCATTTTCTAMTCATATTCTAAGACTGTGAGTATTGTTATACTGCAGCTACATACAGTATATACTGTATACTATAATATGCATACACTACTATACTTACTTCGCCACCATTGACATAGTCTAATACAAAATATAGCTTGTCTTTGGTTTGGAATGAATAGTGCAGACCCTGAGGAGTAACAAGAATATAAATGTCAACAAATCTATTACCATCATTTATATAAGTCATACTCAGAAAATAAGCATTATTTTAATCTTCATGGTCACCATCATCACCTCTACTTCCACTCAAATCACCATCAACGATTGTTGTTCRATATCAACAGATATCACTGCTTTCATAGCTACTTTACGCACTGATTGACTGATTGACAACTTTCAACTCGCATGTTCATTTGGGGAGCAGGGGGGACAACCGGAGAACCTGTTAGGAAAATCTTTGTGCAAGGGAGGGACAACACATCAAACAACTCTATTCACATGTGCCATCTGCAGGACTTGAAACAGCAACCTGACCCAGAAATCTGACCCATAGGACTCGCAGTGGTGAAAGGCCAACGTTTAACTGTTGTACCACCCTTGCCACCCACTAAGTAATACAGCATGTACGTGTACATGCATCACCAGCTTCTTATCCTGCATTACATGTTTCTGGTTGCAGATGTTAATTTTTCTAAATTGAAAAAAAGCCTGACTTACCACAAGAAAAGGATGGGTTACATTTTGGACAAGAACGTTACGCTCTGCCATGATGTGTTTTGCCTATGGAATAAATGATCATAATCAGCATTTATTTAAACATTTGACAACTTTAGAATTTGTTGACAGATGACTACAGGTAATATACCTGGTTACCAGGTATAGCAAAATAGACCTCTTTAACTCGGAATACAGATTTTAGACCAGGTGTCATTATTAGAGAATAAAATTCTTTGTTTAAGTCGTAACTATATTTGTGTGTCTTCTTATGTGCAATAGTTAAATAAAGAAATGATACTCTAGGGAATGACGTGTGATATRGAATGGCACGTGCAAATGGAATCTTTGCTAGAAGTACACTTTGACATGTGACTCATAAGCCAAGTGATCCAAATAGAAACAAACCAAACCATCTTTGGATAGAAGAAATTCAATTGACGAAAACTTTGATAACTAGTATCAAAGCCATGAAGGTTAGGCCTCAAGATTTTTCCCCAAAAATTGAAATTTATGACAAGAAGTAAAGTCAAGAAATTACCTCATTTCTTTTCCGTATTGCAGACTTGTTGAGAACTTTAATAGCATAGAACTTTTCTTCCTGTTTATTCTTGGCTAAGAAAACCTGAAAATGTTTAGATATATCGACATGAAAGACTCCTAATACTCAGACGATGTCCAGGAACACATCCAGGAAATTCCACAAGGGTGGTCCTGTGGCAAGGCAGTCTCAGGGCTCAAAATAACAGCTGAACATCCAATAATGTCCCCCCAGAATTGAAACTAGACCAGTCAAATCTTTGCCTTGCTGGTCATTTTGACCAGTAACATGAAAGACAGAATGTTGTTGTTGTTGTTATTGTTATTATTATTTGGCCTGTTGTTATGACCAGCCACTGATCAGCCATTATTTTAAGCCCTGAGTCTTGAAAAAATATTACACAGACACAGCAACTGTGCATAATCCTTGCAATATGAGGAATTAGGAAGAGCAGTCTTGTCGCTATGCAACCTGTGCTTGCTATAAACTGCTATATATAATTGCTATAAATTTTTTCTTATGATTCTATACTCTCCTACTGTGTTCATTCTGTCAGATCTAAAGCCTCTATTGTTATTACCTAATTTGTTTTAACTTCTTAAAAAGGAGTCCTTTGAGAGTCACTAGACTAGACAATGGTATTGATATGACTAATAAACTTTCCTGTAGAAGCTAGCCTAAGTATATTGTAATATAGTGACTTTATACCAAAATTACCTTTCCAAAACTTCCTTTTCCAATTACTTTAAGAAACAAGAAGTCACTGGGTTTAGCTCTAGAAAAATCCAAAAGTAGAATATTGTTAGTAAAAATCATATAAATACATAAATATTTGGTATCAAATCTTTACATTTTCATGGTTCTCTACATCAAAATAAATACACATTTGCAACATAAATATCTACAGTATAGCACAGCTTTGCATACTGTAAAAATTAATGTCACAGACATGCCTTCTCATGTCGGTGCATGTCAAAGCATTTTAATTAAATAAATAATAATCTCACAAGATCTAATCATATGGTGGTTCTTATTTACTGAACTGTTTTAGTCATAAGCAATGGGTAATAATACAAGCTGAAGTATTCATTCTACTCAGTTGAGTATTCTAAGCATCATGAATTAAAATGCAGAGGAAAAAACAGTATGTTTACAGTATGTTGACATACAGTAAACAAGAGAGGTCACTGAAGATCAAACTATTAAGTTCTATCTAGCTCATGGAAAATGTGCTATATAAGTTATTAATATTCAGTCTTTGTTCCCTGTTCAAAATCCAAGCAGGCAATTGGTTAAAATCAATCACTTGATTTTGCTTTGTCTGGAGATAACACATGAAAAATGTGTATTATTGACAATAACACATTGTTTTCAAAAGATTTAGTGATTTGAGAGATGAAAATACATTACGCTTGATCAGAAATCGATACCATCAAGCACAAAAAGACAAATAAATTAGAGTGTGTTGATTTTCAAGGTAAAAAGAATGAAATTTTGGGTCTTTTGCAATGTTTTGATATTCGAAAACACATTTTTAGATGTAGTTGTGCTTCTTCGCATAGATTTGCCAGTGAAAGATGATTATCTTCTTCAAATATTGAATGAAACTATTTGTAAATTTATTCCCTTTTAGTTTTAACAGTATACAGTATTTAAATAATTTTGGGCTCGTTTATTAAAGTTTTCCTTCTAATTTAGTCATGATAATGATATTTTTGCTCATATTTGTTTTGTCTGTCATTGTCAAAAACAGTGAAAGTTGTGTGCTGCAGTGTAATCAGATTGAATAATAAAAGGGTTCAAGACTTAAAGTTCATGTTTTGTTTACAAATACACACACTAGCTGGCTGTACAATGAACTTGAAATTTCTTCATACTGCACTTGGCTCTGCTTGTGCAGTATTGGGAAATTTCTTGTTCATTGTACAGTCAGCTTGTGCGTGTAATTGTAAACAAAACACTCACATCAGTCTCTAACCCCTAAATAAATTATAGAAAATTCGTGCCGAGTTGTCTCTGAGTTATTAGTGAAGTGTTGGCTAAAATCTTGTGTCTTTAGCCATGAATTACATTTAACCTATGAGTAATTATTAAGGCCATGTATGTGCCATGAGGAGAGAGGAGGATAGGTATAGTAATACACATACTTAGGATTGTGGGATTCTCCTAGATCCATCTTATCTATATCTTTGCCCTACATAAACAAAAAGAATACAAAGAAAGGTATRAATAGAAAGAATTCTCTCAAGAATAGCACTGAGAGATGTAGAGAAGTAACATCAGCAGTTTCATTCTTCATGTTTTCCATTAAATCGGAGAAGACTTCTTCGTTGATATTAATCGTTGTACTTACAGAACCAGCTGCGTCACCAGTATCATCGGTTCCAGGATCTTCATCRTTAGCTTGAGCAGAATTTTTTGGATTGTCCAATGAAAGGAACTCCCTCACATCAGGACTAAAATAAATAATAATTACAGTTAAACTTATGTTAGGAACCTAAACAACACTTTTTAAATTGAGATATCATATACATAAATCTTTTTTTTAAAAGGATTGATATGGGACTGGGGATGGATTTGGTGGCTAGCGACTGAACCCTACCCACTTCGCAGTTTTCAAAATAAGAATAAAGAGTAATGTAAAATCTAAAAAGGAAGCACTCTACTGGCTTTCTATGTGACTGCCACCCTCTTGAAATAGACCTCATTTAGCTTGAAAATGAGTTCCTCTAGAGTATTATTTCTTTGTTTAATGGTTGTGCATGAGAAGACACATGGACATGGATACAACTTGAACAAAAGAACCTTATTTTTTACGAGAATGACACATGGTCTGAAATGGGAAAACATTACACCCAAGCTATGAAAAAGGTCTACTCTCCTTGACCTGCTCAAGGTCAAAGTAGAACTTACTTTACAGGAAGTCAAGGAGAATACACCTCACATCCTTACTCAAGGAGAAGGAAGGGCTCAAACTGTTCAAGTTCTATAACCATACATCTCCACCTTTTAAACAAGATAGCATATTCAAGTGTATTTTTGTATGTGGGATGCATTTAAGTCAAGATTTCGTAGCCCTGTATACCAAATCTTGACTCAAGATATCATATATTGTGTCATTAATGCTGTTAATGAATGACAGAAAAATTTGAACACAGGCCTGCCTATTGGTATTACAATCATGTGCTTCTCAAAATAATTCTTACTGATCCATTGCTCCTGGATGCGATAGAATCTTGCCAATAGAGTCATTCAGACCTTCTCTTCTCATCTTTATAAACTCTAAGGACAGATATAAGCAAGTGAAATCAAGGATAAATACAAATCAAGGATAAATAGGGGTTTTCAAAGACATGGTACAGTAACAGTGTTTTCCATTTAATCACGTTAGAAATTGTACAATTTGCCGTGGAGACAAAGTAGGACATTGGGGGACGTCAGGGATGTCGTTTAACATGTTTATATAACATTGCCAGAATACACAGGGTTTTCATATTTGATGTTATGGAAATGCCTTGATTGAAGTCCATTAAAACCTACTTCATAGCCACAGCAAATTGTACCATTTTTTAAGTGTCATTGRGTAGGACTGAAAAAGGTGATTCACTACAAGAGTATACCAGCACACTCTACCACGAAGATATGTACTATGTATAGTCTACTGACAATTATTTACTATCCTCAACTAACAACCTGACTAAATGATGCACCAATAATCATAACGTTTGGCAATATTCCCTCTATGGCTCATCCATAAGAGGGATTAAAATAACGGCAGGACATCAGACAATATCCAGGCAGAACTGGGTCTTGTCCAGTCAAATCTTTGCCTTGCTGGTCATTTTGACCAGTACAGTGAGCCAGAAATGAGGTATGAATGAGCTAAAACTAATTTGGCCGGTCATCATGAAGAGAGTGACTGACTAGCCATTACTTTAAGCCCTGCAAACATTATACCAATATCCATTACCATTCTTCCAACCGACTATCGACCCTCTAACTAATTAAAACCACCCACAAATCTAACCCTACAATACCAACACTCATTCAATAGATTACCAAAACTTCTGTTTACCGGCATTTGCATTGCTACACGGCCTCCCCAGACAAAAATCGCGACGTGCACTTTGCAATAGACTGCCATCAATCAAACAAGTTGACGTCATTTACACACGTTTGGATCAGCCCGGATAGGCCCGGTGAGTGTGGCTCATAATACTTGTAAGCAATCGACAAGTTTTGGCACCATTTGAATCACACACATGTGTAAATGACATCAACGTGTTTGATTGACGGCAGTCTATTGTAAAGTGCATGTCGGTAAATACCTGGATCAAAATTGTTTCCTAACAGTCTTTTACCAGGCAGCTTAATATGCAGATCTGGGAATACTTTCTTAAGCTGCAAAAAAAAWAAAWAATTAATATATTTTTTTAATATTTAACATGGTAGACTTTAAAGCTAGAAGCAAGTGGGGTTGTGTGACTCCATATCCATTCCTCACTACATTTGGATATATTTGAGATACATTTATATATAGTTAGGATAGGAAGTGCGCGATGATTGGTTGAAAACTGCGTTTACAGTATTAATGAATGGAGCACAGTGCTGCTAGATCCTACAACCATCTTTCTTTTCGCATAAATGAATTCAATATGGAAATAACATAAGTAACTATATAATAAAATGAATAAGAACAGCTTTTTCCCTGCTCCATTCAGTAATAAAGGACTTAGGAAGTGTCGTAAGCACTCAAGAAGCGTAAGCACTCACATACAGCTAGTGTTTTTCTTTACACTCCTTCCTGCAAGCTTTATTACTGAACGGAGCACGGAAAAAGCTGTTTTATTTGTTACTGTYGTTTGCATTGCTAYGCAGCCACCCCAGACAAAAATCGCGACGTGCATTTTGCAATAGACTGCCGTCAATCAAACAAGTTGACGTCATTTACACGGATCGGCCTGGTAGAAAAACCTGCATAGCAACATCGACCTTAGCTCACATATTAGCTTACACAGCACTGAAATGTGGGCCACTTGCCACAAGCTTAGCATTGGTGAGTGGAAGATGACTTAGCCACATACACCATCCATGCTAGTCTAGCTACTTTTAAAAATCAAAACTTTATTTTGGCACAAATATTCATGACCAAACTTGAAAATAATATAGAATAAGAGGGAATATATAAAATCAGAAATGCAAATTTAAAAAAATATTTTGTTTAACCAAGAGATACGTAATAGAAAATACATTTTCGCTGTGACAAACGATGCATTGCGCACCTAGATTCCAAATCTCCTCTGGGAAATATTCCAGAATTTTACAGAATTAAACTTTTTTTTGAAATCCAAATAAAGTTAATCATTGTTTTCAAATGTAGTCCTCATGAATATTTTCAGTGAAACGATTGGCTATTGAAAATGTTGTGAAAAACCTTTAGAAAAGGCAAGCCTGTTGCCGCTGTAGGGATGGTTAAAACGCAAGCTACTAAAAATACTACTAAATTAAAGAAATCTTTTTCCAGTTCTATTCCTGACAACACTGTAACAAGTAATAATTGTTATAGACATAATAGACTGGAATTCAAAAACTTCATACTAATCTATTAAAAATAGCCAAATAAAAGAAAGTAAGATAGCTGATATCTAAATATATGTAGATAATATTTAAGCATTTTTTAGGGATAAAGAGGTAAGAAGAATAGCTTATTGTTTGATTGGAATTAAATACCTTATCACAAAGATGATGGAATTCATTGTATCTTCTGAATATAAAGTAGCTTCTTCCATCAGGAAGCTTGATGAGGACTTTGTAGACCTAACAAAGACAAAAATAAACAAGTGAATCTTAGCACCTGGCTACGAAAATGCCCCAGGCTATAGGATTTAACTTAGTTTTGACCAATTAATGTAAAATGAGGATCTTCCAGGAGAAAATATATAAACTAGATGCTCATCTAGGAAGTTGATTGCTGACGCAGCTGAAACTGGTAATAAGTTTCAAAAGAATTCCTAATCTACATTAAAACTAGTCTTCAAACACATATATATTTTAGTAGCTTCCTGCTAATACATGTATTAAGTAAGCTTGATAAAAATGAGAAAAGAAAATGCTGATAGGAGGGGGTATACTACCATCTTTAACCATAATATTGTGACAGGTTGTCGTCATGTAAAGTTGAGATAATGAATGTGTTATAGAGGAATAATGCCTCGGTAAGGAATGTGAATGATTGTGTACTAACTACATATGTCGTCTAGGAATGTAACAATCTTGTCAAGATAAAAGTAGATCAACAAACATGGATTGTTTGCATGTATGTCTATTGGTTTGAACATTCTTTGTCAAATTTTGATGGACTTTATGTCCCTTAACGTGAGAAAATGACATGGGAAAGCTGTTAAACATATAAGTAGTCAACCAAGACATTTTCAATAAATCCACAAAGAAATGAAGTTTAGGAAAGAAATTGTTCCAACAAACAAAAGAAACAATGTACATGTACATACACTTGGGGTCACTTTCAATAACTACAAACTTGGATTTAATGGACTTCTAACCAAATAGCATTATGATTTCTGTAACAAAAGGTAACAAAAGGTAACAAAACAGAAAAATGTGGGATTTATTCTGTACAACAATAGTGATCCTCAGTAGATAAAGCCATGGAGTTCATGTACCATCAAAGATTTCATGACAAACATGGCTGGAAAGACCTTCAAACAAGTTTTTGAGATCATCAAAATGAAACCTTTTTCAAATCATGATAAACGAAATGGCTGGAACACTTAAAAAGTACTTTGGACTTGGCTTTTATGGGCAGGGGATGTGCCATTGCCAAAACAACAATGGGTTCATTTTTTTCCTGGCAAATAGATAGACAACATTTACAGAGTATTAGGAGCGTCATCTGGTGTTTCCGCTGAAAGTCATTTAATCTAAATTCACATCTCGTAGAAAAGCAAAGATAAAGATTGTGTCAAAACATGTTTTTAATTGAACGATCTGTAGTAGTCCCACAAAAATATACAGCGACTACTACATATAGTTCTAACGCTGATGTGAACTTTGGTGAACATGATCTGGGTTCATATACACGTAATTACAATCAATGTGAGGGTCTTAAAATGAGGATTTCGCTCGTCTTGATACAAAAAAACAACTCATAATTCCATTCATGATGTGCATGAGTGAGTTTGAATATAGTTTTGGGGTTAAGACATGAGGATTAATAGGAACTGAAGTTTTAAACAGAGCCTTGTACATGTTGGTATAGCATAACACTTTAGATCAAATGGCTTGCGAATGCACGCCCCGTTTCTTGTCGTAGTCGTTCAATCCTCGGATCGTATCTCAACGCGGGACACGTTCCATGGTCTCTAAACTGCAAACAAGAACCAGGGCTTAGCAAGCCTTTAAATCCCGAAGATTTCCTAGCCATCTATCCGGCTAATTACTCTTCTGACCCGAAAATATAAAAACAAACACGGAGGCCAGTGGTGAGTATGAATGATGGATGCTTTACTCTGGTCAACAACGACCAGACGAGATGAATAAATAGGCACAAATCTAAACTATCACTTACCGTGAACCGCTTAGACTTGGACTCGGAGCTTAACGTCTCTGAATCTGGAACACTTACACCGATTGGTTTGGACATGGTGAATTGTGCTCAAGGCAAAGGCTCCTTTGAACAGAGAACTGGCTGCTCAAAACTAGAATCTAACCTTATGTAAATGCAACTCAAAACTTGGTTCTGCTTTGACGATACAAACACCGCAAAGCTACCACAAACAAACTCACTTGTGCTGTCGCCTATAACTAAAGAAAAGCATTTGTTTTTTKGGGGGGATCTAAAGAAAATTAAGCCAAAACACAATAGTCTTTTCTTGCAAGTCGAACCAAGAAGTTTCTAATGAGCAGATATCTTGCTTTGAATTTGCTAATATCGCGTCCAGGGAACTGGGCACTACTACTAGACCGGATGTTACTACACATCACATCGGTATGTAACACTAACAAGAATTAAGCTTTTGATCTATAACAAACTCCCTAACTCTGGCAAAAACTTTGCATTTGCATCATGACAAGCACAAAAGAAACGCTAGTGCTATTAAAGTCATCAAATTAATAGTACTATTGAGTTTTTTATGGCTTTAAACGATTTTAAGCGAAAATAGATAAGTTTACTTGGAAGGGTGTTGTTAAATTCTTGTTAGATTCCAGGAATGTTGTTTGTCAAAGTGGTGCGTTGTGGTGTGTTCTTTCATTGAGTGAATTTTTGGGAGCTTTCTGCATGAGTTCACAAGTATTCCTTGTTATAATAAGATCAATTAGTATCCGTAAACTAACTTAATGCTAATAAAAACAACCACCATTTCTGCATAACTTCATTTATCGGAAAGTATCGGTAAGGTGCTAAAAACAGGTAATTGGGATTCCTGTGGAGTTTTTGAAAAGCTCTATGTGGGGTACCTGTGTTGACAAAGTGAACATCGGTGTTTTTCCGTTTTCAGAGTTTCATGCTTCCTTTAAGCTGAAACATTTCTTTTTCAACAATATCAGCAATCTCGACACACCCAATGATGATAATACTGTGCTGATGAAAACAGGATTTCAGTATCTTTTGATAGTGATTAGTTTACAACTCCTTCATTTGTTCAGCTGCCTCAAATAATTAGTTGTTTGTGACCATAAAGCGTATTGTCGGATTCACTACTCTCCGTCAGTTATTTTTCTCTCATTAAAACTGAATTAAGATAAATAAACCGACTTATAAGCAGGATTCAGTAAAATGCAAATTCGCTTGAAAAAATAATGGGATTTTCACAGGAAAATACCCTTCAATCAACAAATTGATTTTGTCCTTTCACTGTTCTTATATTCGTCATATTCTTGGTCATTAAACTCTTCCACTCCACAAAAATTCTGTCAAATGTTTCGCTTCAAGTTCTAAACACACCAAGTCCAAAGTTATTTGCTTTTAAAAGATTTCCACGTTTCCATTTTTGTTTTTTTACGGTAAATACGGAAACTTGCGTATCAGTGCGGCACTGTTTTCCTTGTATACTTGAGCAGCCGATAACACTCGCCGAGAAAAGATCAGCGGTTTTCATTATCCTAAACCCATGCCACCCACAAGGCATAGTATTTGTTGCTATGGTGACGCCGATGCTTTCATTTTTATGCTTTCCGTTAGTGGGCGTTAACAGCTTTTTCACTTTGAAGTTCATGCAAAAGAAGCGAGTGATTGAGTATCTCGTCCTATGCATTATCTACGCCGGCAACGCGGTCTTACTGCGGTTTTCGATATTTTGATGACTCGGTAATTGCGAGCTGCGCGTTAGCTGAAATTTGGTTTTTCGCTGCCGTCAATCAAAGATGGTCCTTCGGTTCCTTTTATAAATGATGTAAAAATGGTAAAGGGATGAATTTATAGAGCGCCATTTCCAGGAGCGCAATGGCGCTTTATAAGATCAGTGGAGGACTTTCGGGCTGCTTATTAAGGTGCTAGTAGCAGCCGTGCAGCTTACAATCATGAGTGATTTGTTATGTTAGTATTATGCCTCCAGATTGGGATAGGCTATAATATATAGTTCTCAGAATATCGAAAACCACAGTAATGCCCACCCTACTGCACAGCAAAACTGAAACCTCACGAGGAAACCTCCGTGCAACGGCGATGTATGTGAAACTGACGTGTTACAAGGAGTTTGTCATAAGACTCATTACAGTGTCATTACGACTGTAACTTGCACGAGAGAATAGTTCTTTTTGTAGAAATTCTTTTGGGGGTGAAGTTTGAAAACCATGGATGAGCTTCAGCGTGGCTGAACTAGTCTCTCATGGAATTTCTGCACAAGCCTAACCAGTTCAGGTAAAAATAATACAAGGTACTCACCCAAATTTGTTTTGCATGCACGAGAAGCACAATGAAAATAATCAATCACATAAAACTGAAAGCGGTGTCTAAAAGTGACAAGCCCATCTCTCCAACCATCAAAAACATTACTCACTTACGATTTATTACAATTTATTTTGGACGCTTTCCTAATGAGGAACTAAATGGTTACTTTTTAAAGTACCGTTACCATTGAGTTATATACATATGAACAAATTATATTACAACAGACTCGATGAAAACTATTAATGAATCATGAGAAACAAGCCTGTCTGGAAATTTTTCAATTTAAGGACGACAATTTTGTGCGAATTTGTTTTCTGACACGGAAATTTTTAGATTTTTATTGCCTTGCTGAGATCAGAGACGAAATTACGGTAAACATTGCTGAGGCATTTGCAGCAACAAAAAATATGTTGCGCGATTTTTTCACTGCAAAAAGTGTCACTGCAAAACTTGTGGTCTGATAAAGAATGCATTGCAGAGCAGTGTATCAATTTTCGCCGCAGTAATATCTAAAAATGGGTTGTCAGAATGAAAAAAAACCACATTGCGTCAGGTTTAAACAGTTTCATATCAAGATGATTTTAGAGCCCAGACTAATCATCCAGCTCAAATATTAAAGAATTTGCCAAAGCTGGCTCATTTGGCGGTTTTTCGACCAAAGTCCACCCATCGTCCACACTAGTTTGGTCGTTGCTGCTCTTMTCCTCTTGTGAACCATTAGTAGCGTCAGAGCTGTTGCCATTCTCAACTCCGCCTTCCAATGGATGTGCCTCTTCTGCTATTGTCTCAGCATTCAACCGTTCATCCCTATCACTACGGCTGTTCGTCTTCTCTTCGCCATTACTAGCCGTAAACTTTGAATTTTTCAATCGCTGCTCCATCTTCCATCTCTGTTTATCTTTCTTGTTGCTGAAGACGCGAACATTGGGGTTGAGGTTAAAGCGCACGTTCTTTTTTCCAGGCGACCCCCAGCCGTTGCCATTTGGAGACAACGGTCCACTGAAATCAAAATCATCACCTAAAGAAGAATCGTCTGTCGAGGTACTAGAACTTCTACGCATGCAGGATCGTCTTTTACTCTTGGCGCCCGCTATAGTCAAGTCTCCGTCAGAGCGATCAGACGAGTTCGAGTCCACACTATCTGATCTACTCTTCCTTCTCTCGTCCAGATTTGTCTTGTGGCCATGATCCTGGACCATTTTGGGATCAGTAGAAGCAGCAATCTTCTCACACATCCCCAATGAATACTTCTCTCGCCGTTCATGTCTGTAAAAATCGCAATCGATTCCTTCGTCTGGACTTGACAGTTTCATGTGTCGAATCTTGTTGGACAAGATTCCTTCTCCCATTTCAAAGTTCTCGAATAAGCTCGGATCCATTTTAGTTCCCTTGGTAGACTTTACCTCTTTGTTTCTGTTGACTTGGTTGTTATTAACAGCCACGTGGTTCTTGTTATTTACTACGTTTTCATTCACTGTCTCAGCTACTTTGTTTTCCATTACAACTGTCAAGTGATCTTTTGACGCAGAGGTGATCTTCAAGTCGTTCTTGAACTCACTTGGGTTCGCCTGCAAGAATTTTCAAAACCAGCTGTTAGAATAAATATTCCTCCCTCTTATAACAACTACAATGGAGATTAACTTTTGTACACTGTGTTTCCGATGTACGAATAAATAATATCAACTGTCTGTGACACTAGCAAACTGGTACCTGCTGGCTGGCGTTATTCGATTAAACAATGAATCTACCAAACGTGTTCTCAAACAATTGGTTCTCTAATTTTTCTCCGAAACTAGCATAAATAAATATGTACGTACAATTTGGTCGCTATAACGATGAGCAATTCGTGGAAAAAACTGGGTTGAATCGGAATTGCAGTGCATTGGGGAACTGTTTTAGGGGACGATAGACACCATCTTGGAAATATGTCCCCTAAGACAGCTTCACAATGCAATGCAATGCCAATTTGACCAAGTTTTTAACCTCAACCTTCGAATGGCTGATATACCCTGCAAGTTCAGGGATGTGAACGGTACATGAAAACTACTGGGTTTGGGATCAAACATCAAAAATAGAGAAATCTTGGGATCAGTGATCAAATATCTCTCCTCGCGACCCTGCTACGTTTAAAAATGTCCTGCTAACGTCTAAAAAATATATCCAATTTCCTTTCGTTGCTGTGGTTTCCTAATCTAGATGAAAGTTTAAACATGGATTTTGGACCTTAGAAATTGATTATATATACAATACAAAGTGGCAAGGATTTCACGGAGAAATATTTTGACCTATCGCGCATTACATATCACGCGCCTTATTTAAAAACATAATGAAGAATCAGGCAGCTAATTGTGGCGCTATCACGCGTCACGCAGAAACCCTTTGCCACCCTGATACCTGGTAATACCCTAACTGTGTGTCGATCAGTTATCTCCTTATACCTCTATATCCTGATCTGACAGATTTAATATACTTACCCAAGGGTCCTGTTCTGCAATCTCTTGCATCATTACTTCCACGGTTTTATCCGTTATGGAGAACTTCTCCTAAAAAAGTATTCAGGAAAAAAACAACAATTTGTTGGAACTTTTATACAATCAATTTCTGGGAAATAAGTATGTGATGTGTATATTTGCGTACTATAGGACGTTTCCATGATGGCGTCATTTGACTACAACTACCAAGATGCTTCGCGAATTTTCATTCTTATTCAAATTAATATTCCCTTATAAGAATGGTAAGACAAGTGGTGCTAATTCATTGAACAAAAGAAARTATGCAAGGGAGTCTGGTATTAGAGGTCAATGACGCCATCGTGCAAACGTCCTATAGAGTGTGTTCATGGCAGCCATGTTGGTTGTTTAAACAAAAGAAATTTTTTTCCCTTGGGAAATAAGTTTTTTTGTCATGCAAAAATATTGCATTGTTTAGTTCTGGCACCAACATGGCTGCCGTGAACACACACTATTAGTATGCTTCAAGGAACCCTCGAGGTGATCTTCAATGGCATGGCTGTAACCAAATAAGACCAAACCAACCAAGAGGCCCTTGGGAGGGGAGGAGTTTCATGCCACAAGCATCACGCTTAAATTTCTTTACCCCCCCCCCCCCCACATTTTTTGCACACTTGCATAAAATTGCATGGCTATCCTTTTTCCCCTGCATAAAAATCAATGTTACACTAGCCTTCTCTTTTCTAAATAATACCGTTAGTTACCAACACACCTCAAGTAGCTCTTCGCCTGGTCCAGCCTTGAAGCTATCCCACAGTCCCTTGCAAGCCTCATCCTTGGTTAAGGTCAGCACCACATTGTCTGGAGTGACGTCAATATGACACAAGTCTGGGGCGAGATTCTGTCCTTCATTAAAATTGATGTAAAGGGCGTAGTCTGGCGGAGGGAGATGGTGAGGTTTGGTGCTCTCCGAGGGGAAGTTGATGTAACACTGGAAACAGACCATATTATATATCAGCAGATATATTTCAGATACTGGGTGCGCTCTAATTGCTCAAAACACTTGAAAAATCAGGTCTATATGAGAGGATAGAACACACGCTCAGCTGAAACACTTTTTTTATTTTATAAAAGCAATATGAAACGACATTCATGTCTTTATAATATGATATAAACACTCTGGAAACTGTATAGCACTAGAGACGTCAAATAARATGCACACTCGGATACACCTCCTCTTTCTCTATGACTTCTCTAATGCTCAACAGCTCCAAGCACGTTTTTATCACAGTATGTAGATATGCGCACCTTCTYATATTCCTAACATATACACTTCCACTGTGTACTACCTACCGAAGCTAAAGGTTATACTGATTGCAGGTGTGAAGTGTTAATAAAGTGACGGTCAAGTGTTGGCCGATAGTCGGTTGATGATTTATCACAAAGTATTTGATAAGATACCTCTGTAGGCAAAACTACACGTAGGCAAAACGATCGTAGTGAGGTGTTGGTGAAGTGATGGTCAAGTGTTGGGCAAGTGTTGGTTAACAGTCGGGCAACTGTCGACCGACAGTCAGGCAATAGTCGACCGACACGTGTCGGCTGGTCATGAAGTACACGATCACCTTAAAAGTCTAAAGCATGAATAAAAGCCGTTGCATTCCATGCGCCACTTGCAAACTTTAGGATCAATAATCATTTGTTTTAGCAAAATTTACCTTATTTTCGTTGAATCCAAGAGAGACATTTTCCATAGCTACATTAGGAACACGAATGATGAACGTGATGATATCAATATCTTGATGGAATGTGTACGGAGGAGCTTTGAAGAAGAATGGAGACGACATATCTAGAAGGAAATCATATACCACTGGTCACTACTGTTATTGAAGCCTGCTTAACAAGGTCATGGTTGATTAAAGTTATGGCAAGGCTAATTCACGAAATTTTGCATGCTAGGCTTTGTAGAGGAAGGAAGATGGAGAGGTCAAAGAAAACCTCAAGGGAAAGGCCGAATAAACTCTGCTCACATGGGATGTCAATAGATCTCTTCGGCTCTGACATAATGTTTTTTCCATTTCAGACCACATGTCATTCCCTAGAGTATCATTTCTTTGTTTAAGGTTTGCACTCGGTTGCACACGAGAAGACACATGAATATGGATACAGCTCAAGCAAAGAATCTTATTCTTAAGGGAATGACGCGTGGTCTTAAATGGGAAAGCATTACTCCAAGCTGAAGAGGTCTATTAGTGGGATGCAATCTGATACCCTAGAAGTGTGAGGTTAGCATGCTACAGGTGTCATCTCTCTCCAACTGCTCCATTACTCTGGTTTCAGAGACTATAATGTTGTGATTTGAAATCACAATTTTGAGTTGAACTCAACAAAGAGATTTATTTGAGGCTCCAAATCCCAGCTTTAAATTACCTCATCGAAGTTGTTAGAACCAGAAGAAAAATATTGTACAAAGATAAGCAAGAAATGCTCTGTAATGGGAAAAACAAGTGCACCAAGATGAACAAGACATATTGGGCATCTTTCATTTAAGGTTACTAAAAGTTAAATACAAACCTGATAGATTGGAGGGCATGTCGAAGCGAACGTCAAGTTCTTTAGGAGAGGTTGGTAAGTTAAGATCACCATGGTCCCAAGCCATATCTGTATTATCTATTACATCATTTGCATTAACAAAGCCTCCATTACTGGTTGTCAAATCAGCTTGCTTGTTTTCTCTTCCATCATCATCATGATTGTCATCATCATCATAATTATGAAGATTACCATTTGATAGCCCTTCCTTGTTCTCACAAATGCTTTCACAATTTTCTTTCTCCTCTTCTTTATGACATTCTTCCAGGGTTCTCACAACTCCATTTATCTGTTCCTCATGTGCTATCCCTGTATCACCACTCAGCGCTTCACTTTTCTTGTTGTCAGCAGATACCTCATTACTGGGCTCAGTTTCAACTTCTTTTATTCCTATGTGGGGGTGGGGTGGTGATACTGGTGGTATGACAGGCAGGGTGACCACTAGTTCTCGTTTACTCTTGTCAAACTTGGCATGACCGTTTGCCTCATCAACAGGGAAAGGTAGAGCTAAGTGGCAAATGTTAAGGAAATACTAGATTGCTATATTATTCTGTTATTCTGGTTCACTAAATCTCTTTAAAATCAATCGACAACCTGAAACCAGCTCTGGGTTGATCAGTATCAGGGCAAGACTAAATCACATATCGAACCCTGAAACCACACCTCTGGGCTGATCAAAGTCATGTGTTGTAGGTTGTTGGTGGGGTGTTGTAGGTTGGTAATGGGGTGTTGTAGGTTGTTGGTGGGGTGTTGTAGAATGTTGGTGGGGTGTTGATAGGTTGTTGGTGGGGTATTGATAGGTTGTTGGTGGGGTGTTGTAAGTTGTTGGTGAGGTGTTGTAGGTTGGTGATGGGGTATTGTAGGTTGTTGGTAGGGGTGTTGATAGGTTGTTGGTGGGGTATTGTAGGTTGTTGGTAGGGGTGTTGATAGGTTGGTGGTGGGGCAATGTAGGTTGTTGGTGGGGTGTTGTAGGTTGGTGGTGGGGTGTTGTAGGTTGTTGGTGGGGTGTTGTAGGTTGTTGGTGGGGTGTTGTAGGTTGGTGGTGGGGTGTTGTAGGTTGTTGGTGGGGTGTTGTAGGTTGTTGGTGGGGTGTTGTAGGTTGTTGGTAGAGTATTGGTGGATATCATTAGTGGGGTCTTATGTTGTTTTTCTTTGCAACATGTCATTAATAGGGTGTTGGTTGGTTAACAAGGGTAATGTTGGTTTATCATTAGAGGTGTTGGTATGGGACTGTTGGTATGGGACTGTTGGTATGGTGTCATTGGTTGAACGTCATTATAGGTGTTGGTATTTTGTCTGTAAGGAAGCTGATAAGGCAATGACAGGTTTTTTGCATAGGTCTACATGTAGTTTGCATTCCACCTGCGTTATAAACTATACTTGACCCAAGATGAAGGGCATTAGAAAAAAATACAGTATCTCATAATGTGAAGGATATGTCAAGGTGATAAGGTGGGTCATGGTTGTTCAGGAGGACTTGCTTCTCAAAGATATCTAGCTCAACAGAACCAGTGGATTTCTATGACAAAACAAATCCAAGGTTAGAATGAGAAACATGTCTTGAATGCTTGCAGTTAGTTACAGTATACAGTTGATTCAAAAAATGTTGTCATCAACCAGCCTATGTGACTGGACCGAAAGGGAATCTGGGTAGAAATCACTGAAGTGATTGACTGCATAGTTCTTTCTGATTAATTATGTTTCGGGTTTACAGGACAAGCCCGAGTGGGAATTGTTAAAAGAATCCTTTCACATTTTCGAAATTGTGAACTGAATCATAACTGTTTCGTTTTTCTTTGRCTAAACCCAAAGACATTTGATTTGTTTTTAACACAAATTATTTGAATAGTAATGAGCCTAGAAGCAGCAGTATATGTTTGGTATTTTACGTCTACATTTTGAGGAGGGTACCCTTCTTCTACAAAGACTGCATAACAAAAGAATATTACTGAATATTACACTCAAACGCGTGTAGTGCGTCCATGTCTCAAAGCACGGACTACACTAGTACAAGTGTACTCCATTAACGGAGTACATGAGTGTTACAYGCGTGGACACTGTGAAATACATCTGGGCTGTACTGTATAATTTCTGGCTCCACCTACTGTATGCCCCTGACCCCAAGTAATATCCTCTACAATACAAATATATGCGACAAGAACAGAGCATTTTGTTCTAGAGTCAGTGCCAGCTACCAGAATGGTGTACCATCAGTCAAAGGGCATTGCTGCAAGACATGATTTCTTAAGCTTGTCAATTAACGATATTTCTTTCTAACTTACCAACAGTGGTAGTTCAATGGATACTACCAACTCTTTGGGTCTTGTACTGGTACAAGAATCCCTACAAGATAAACACATTAGATATCTTAGCTTGACTCGTGTCCAAACTCACAAGGTACCAAAGTCCTCATCATCAAGTTAGTAAAAATAGACAATTAAATCCTTCRTAAAATAAAAAGACAGCAATGAAATTTACTGATATTTTGGATGTTAGCAATTAGATCCTTTAGGCTCTAACAAGCTAGTCAAGATATGAATGCACTTAGCATATTGCAAATGCATAATCATTTTCGATGGTCTAGCTCAAAAACGGGAAAATGTGCCAAAACTTAAGGGACCTGGAAGTATGGATTTCATAACCAAGTTACAAACTGGGAGTAAGCGCTTGTATAACAGCAATCCTTTTGCCGATAAGGAAGGATCAATCTCATATGAAATGTGAAGTTAAAGAAATTATCCATATCCCCCACCCGCAGAAATACCAATTTTCTTCCATATGAACTCTGTACGTTTGTTCTTTCTCTGATCCAGATACAACAGACTTAGAATCATGCAAATCTTCCCACTCCAAATACCTGGCATTTGTAAAATTCTGTAACTCTATGACTCCACGATGTACAATATGATAGGCTGGTTCATTGGGATGCTTGGTAGTTGAATTCTCTTTAATTCCATTTTCTGATCCTGAACAATTCTCATTTCCTGAGCTGTTTCCAGAGCTGTTTTGTCTGTAGTATTCTGGATAATTGTTCTTTTTCCCTTTTTTCTCCTTCCAATTCTCATTTCCTGAGCTGTTTCCAGAGCTGTTTTGTCTGTAGTATTCTGGATAATTGTTCTTTTTCCCTTTTTTCTTTTTATGTTTCCTGGAATTTTTTGATTTATTTGGTGTTGGCTCATTCGTATATGGATAGGGAAATGTCTTGCTGGCAAAGGTATTGTCAGGCATCTTGTCAGGTTGCTGCAATACAAAATGATATAGATCATAAAGCTATTGTTATTGCTATTGCTAGTGGAGCCCATCAGAAAGCAGCAGATAACAATAGCCTTTTAAAATATCTTTTTCTCCCAACAAGATAATGACGATGGGTATCTAGTTGTTTACACATAACATCAGGGTCAAATTACAATTCCCATGCAGTCTAGCTTTCTCATTGGCTCAACTACCCAAAGATGGAATGCATTGTTTTCATTCTACATTTTAATTGGTTCTCTTGTCTAACTGGTCTAAGTGGCCCCGCTTACAGTAGTTGTACTGTAACACACTGGTCGCCAACAGCCACTATTATTTTATCAGCTAAAAATGACATAGGTGGTATTTGTAAATACAATGCTGCCTATCACCTCCCCAGCAGAGCGGTGAATTTTGTTTCAGTCAATCGCAGTGTGTTTAGATGTTTTGCAGCCAGCCCTTCATTTCCAGGCTACTGCAAACCCAATTTTTGCATATTTTTCTGTTTTCTTTTGATTAAAATATAAAATATGTGCCTATAACATGAGTCTATTTGATGTGTTGTTCTCTCCCTTGCCACGAGAGTTTTCTCCGGGATCTCCGGTTTCCTCCTTCCATAAAAAGCAACATGTGAGTTGAGTGTTGTATGTTGTAAATATAGAATGTAGTGGTAGTGCGTGTGGAAGGAAACTCACAGAATGGATAAATGGATATACAGTGTAAACTAATGTTATTATACAATTTTGTGTACTCACCTGATTGCTTTTAGTCCTTATTACAGTAGCTTGCTTCATGCCTTTGAACTTTAATTTTGGAAATTTCAAATCTGAAATGCAAAGAGCATTGACTAATTATTATTTACTAGCTTGGGTAATAAATGAATTCATACATGTCAGAACTTACTTTTTTTATTTAAATTTACATTTAGCTGTTTCTCAATTCCATCCAAAGCTGTTTTGATTACCAAATCCTTGAAACGAGTGTCCTATGTGAATGAAAAAGAGGATAAAAATGAGAAAAGAACATTAGAAATGAGAATACTGCACAACACACTGTCATTTAACAAATTATAACTTTAAAATTCATATGCCTTTTTTCCCCATAATTAATTCATCAATTACATTCAACACAATGAGCCTAATTATTTAGTACTACAAATTAAGTTCACCGTCTCAATCAGCGGTTGCTCAAAAATAATTTAAAGTTGAAACTGTAACTGTATTACGTTCGGCACATGAGTAGAGCTATGTATGGAACAGGTCTCAGGGACAAAGAGCTTTAAATGTAGATACAAGTCGTAACTAATTTACCTGTTGTCCCTTCTTATATGTTTCTGGGTTGAAAACAGCATCAAAAACTACGCACTTCTGGCCAGCTGAAAAATAAAATAAAAATTTACAATGAATCCAAAGTTCCATCTAACAAGACAATTTTCGTTGCCTTTTAAATTTAATAAATTTGAATCAACATAGTTCTGACTTGCTGCATTACCATTATCTAAGTCATCCCTGGGTTGTGATAAACTGAATGGTATGCTCCACTGTTGCCCTCTTTTTCTGAGAGAAAAAAAATCACATTAGATCCAATCATTGACTCAAGACATTATTTCAAAAAATATAATTAAATTACAAATAGATTTTCATGATAATCATTAAATGTCAATTATTACCGTCAAGAAATTAATGTCAAGAAATAATAAATTTGTTGAATAAGAATTTCTTGTTCCTTCCTTTTATGGATGTCTGTCCATTATACTGTCCATGTCCAATTTATAAATCAATTAAAATCAAAGAATTGCAAATTCAAAGTGACTAAGGCCCCGTCCACACTATGCCGGATAAATTTGAATCCGCAACTTTCACACCGAAACCGGAAAAATTTTTTTCTGTCCACACATGAAAACGGATAAAATGTTTCGCATCCACACTAATCCGATCAGAGGTGGCAAAAACGCTTTATTGCACATCTGAGCATGTGCATTGAAGCTGAAATTGAGCCTGCGATGAATTTTTAGCCTTCCCACCATGTTCCCATGACAATCATGACGTCATCGTATTCGAAAAATTTCAGATACGGAATGTTCCCTGTCCACACTAATACAGCTAGCCGGCGTTTTCAAATTGTTCCACTCTGGAGACYGTATTCRAAAAAAATCGTTTTCGGTGAAGAATTGTTCTGGATTTGCCAGGACTAGTGTGGACAGTAGGCCTAACCGAATAAATAAAAATCTGGATTCAAATTTATCTGGCATAGTGTGGATGCGGCCTAAGTCAGAATAAAATGTTTTGGCAAAATCACAAAATTAAGGTTCAGACACAAACTTGACATGTTGCAAAAATTTCATATGATGTAATAAAGGTATTTATCACTGTACAATGTTAACGTTTTTATCTATTTTTACTCAGAACAAACCTTTTGCCATCTTCCTCTATCTCAGATTCTTGGAATGTTGCTTTGTTAATGTGTTGGTTCTGGCAGATATTTACAAATGCCTTCATTCCATCACTCTGCCTAGAAGTCTTGACTACAAATCCATCCTGAAGTACAAAAGGTTATTAACCACAAATATTTGATTTAAAGGAATTATTCAGTTTTCTCCAGCGTTTTCCAAAAACAATATGTTAAACAAAGCCAYATCACTATAATTTGGTATCCAGTGAAGTGGCATGTGGATTCAGTTGCCCAGACTCAAGTCGCCCAGAGTCTTGTTTCGGTCGCCTGTAATGCATGGTTCAGATGCCCGGAGTTCATTACTAAAGGGAATTGTCAAAACAATAACACAAATATAACTTATTTTGCAGTAGTAAATCTTTATGAAACATTTGTAAGGCATTTTAGATTAGTTTTGGGCAATAGTTTGGGCAACTGAACCACGACTGCGGGTGACTTGAGTCCGGGCACCCGAACTTGTAAAGGGCGACTTCACTGTAATTCCTATACTATGCTATACACTGTAGAAGAAGCATCAATGAATCAAGTTAAATGAAGGCGATAAACATTAGAAGATCTTTTATTACAAAAATTTTGTCTCTGACTTAATTTATTAAAAACTGGCATACGTTTCAGCTAGTTCTTTAGCCTTCAATATAAAAGAAGGCTAAAGAACTAGCCAAAACGTCTGCCAGTTTTTAATTTAAGTCAAAGACAAAACTTTTGCAATATAGATTAATAAATCCTGTTTGCAACCATCAATGCCCGAAATCTTTTTAAAACTAAAAGTACGACRGAGAACTCATGAACATGAATATAGAGTTTCTCAAGCTGTGTTTGGTCAAGTGATCGGTGATTCTGAGACGATTATCACTGCTGGAGCGGTGATCATGTGGTTTTCCAAAGCTTTCCAATACTAAAACATTTGCTGGGAAGCATCATGGTCGAGTGGTCATAGCGTTGGTCTCGCAATCCGGTGATGCCTGGTTCGAGTACCACTGTGGCCACTAGCTGAGACTGTATTTGTCCTGATACCTGATTAGTTCAGATTCAGTTTCTTGACCATGCTTGTAAATAGCCAACTTGTTTGCCTCCTTGCCAGTTGGGATTCTTAACACACTTTATGTTTATTTGATCATTTATTTCAGTTTATTATTGTAGGAGGGCCATAATGGAAACTACTGGGCTACCAGTAATGTATGTCACCCTTGTTAAATAAAGTCAATTTATTTTTATTTTTTTATTATTTATTTTTTATATTCAAATCTAAAATCATACAAAAACAATTATTCCCCTCAGGCTCAGTGATTATAATGATATTTAGCTCACCACTTGAGGTTTTGCATCATCATGTAATATTGTCTCTATCCTATCCATGTTAGATGGCACAGCAATAGAATCCTTTTTCTCTCTGGAATTGAATTCTTTCTCATGCAAAATGATTGTATTGTTCCTGCCATCTAACATTGCTGTGACTGTCATGTGATGGTGCAATCCTCAGCAGCATAAAAATACCTCTGGGTTTACAAATTTGACATCCATGCCTCTCTCTTTTTCCATCTGGGTGATCTCCTCTTCATATTTCTGGATACAGAAATTAAATATATGATTAATGACTAGACAAAAAACACTGGCTGAAATATGGGGAATAACCGTAATGAATGTCAGGGTTTGTGCCAAGGTAACCACTTAAAATTCAAGGACTACTCAAGGAGTATACAAGGACTCAAAAATGAATTTTCAAGGAGTATGTTCAGCTAACTATGCCAAGGTTTTACATCTATCTCAGATCTATTTCAGAACCATGCAAGTAATGATCAGAGTTTTCAAGGAATTTCAATAAAATCGTAAAATTGAGCTGATCCTCGTAGTATATGAGGCAAATAATGCAGCTGCAAATTTAAAGACTCAATAAAAATCGTAATAAAACCATAATAGAAGTGTGTAAGTAGTGTACACGAAATAGACCTTTTTGGATCTTTGTGCATAATCTTTCCTATTTCAGACCATGTGTCATTCTCTTAACAAAAGGAAATCATGAATTTCAAAACACATCTCAATTTAAATTTCATTTTGTTATTGGACTTCTATCTACAAACTTAGTATACACTTAGTACGCATGTGAGACAAATGAATAAGTATCATTTATTACAATTTCCACAATGAACATTTATTTTTCATTCCAAGTAAATGCAACTCTGCTGGAGTATTGCCTCATCTGTGTGCACACCATGTCATTAAAAAGGATGATTCTTAGGAGTATGATTCTGCGTTCATATTGTTATGAGATGTAAAAAATGGGCTGTTTACTTTATAATGCAATAGACCCTTTTCGAGTTCCAAATTACTGCTGTGTTTCTCGATTACAGACTCATTTGCACAGGGTTAGCCTCGTATCAGTGTCTAAATATTCACAAATACCAACGGTAAAGTAAAGAATGCACAAGTTCAACAATACAAACACTTTGAAACTTGATGGACCTTGACTGGAAAACGTGAATATTCTACACAAAATCGAGGCTTAGCCTGTGTAAATGAGTCTGTAATCAAGAAACACAATAATTTGGAACACRAAAAGGGTCTATTTACTACCACTACCTGAATCCCCTGTGCACACTTTCTTTGGTTCAATCAAATAGCACCAATTATCTTAACATTCTTGTGATGAATACGTATACTTGTAAATTTGAATATTAAAGAAAGACAAAACATTTTGGTTGCAGTAATAATGGGGTTCTTATATAGCACACTTTCACATTGTCTCGGTGCGCTTTACATTGCAGTGGAGGACTTTACGGGCTGCATATTAAGCCGCTATTAGCAACTGTGCAGCTTACAATCATGAGTGATTTGTTAGTACATTAGTGTTATGCCTCCAAATTGGGATAGGATGTTGAACCGGGAGACAATCCCCTACTCTTACACAAATAATTCAACAGGTTCTTTTATGTCCCCCATTTACTGTAGGTTAGGAAGGGTTTGGAGACAAAGCCTACGGTTTTAAGTCCTTGTCTGAGAAGACTTGAAGGTCTAACCTTTTGCAGATATAATTACAAAGGCAGCATTTTATCCTCAGTTATTTTAAGACCCTGAGTGTTGATCCGCTTGAACCACAACCTCCCGCACAACAGACCAACGCTCTTACCAAATTAGTTAACTGGCTGGCGGCAGTAGTAAATGATGTGTTCACGCAAACAGCCTGTTTTGGAATATCAATAAACTATCTTGTAATACAAACAAGAGCTAGCAAAGAACTATCATGAGCCTTTGTCTGTCTCGTGACAGTGTTTATTGTTTTCGTCAGTCTGATGTCATCCATAAAGCACAAAGGCTTGGCAAGATGGAGCAGTTGAACAACCTCATATTTACCTTTTTATTCTCTGGATTAGATATTTCCTCAGCATATTCCACCAGTAATTTTCGAAATTCTTCATTTTGCATTGCCTTGTGGAACTTGTCTAATTCCTGGTAGACAGAACACGCATTAAAATGACCTCAACTGCATCAGTGAACATGAGCTATACAAAACTTGAAGCCATATGCTTGAGTTTTCGCCAAAATTGGACTACATTTGAAGAACAAATTGTACATATATAGCCATTTCGATAGATATCATTGTATTTTGGTTGCTATCTCAAGCGTTTTTTGTAAGATTATGGTTTTAAATTCCACGTAAGCTTACATTAAGTGTTTAAAACGTGTCGAACATGCCCCAAGGCCCTTAATCGCATTAGATTAATCACATGGTTTTTTTGCATCCACTTACGAGTACRAATCAATGAGCTCAAAATGATGATCTATACTAAACATTTCCATGGCTATATCGGTGGTAACAGAAAAGCAGAGGAATAGGTTTTTTAGGGCGTTATTAAAGAGATCTGATGKCGAGGAAGAGCTGCAAGTTCTGCAGTTCACAGACCTGGCAACGCGAGATGCAAAACAACATCACGTTGTTTTCTTGTACAAAAACAACCCGAAAACCACACCCAGAATCCATGCAAACAGCTTTATGCACAGCTTACCTCTTTAGTCATCTGGAACTCTCCATCTTTGCTAGCTGAAGACATGTTTTGGTGTGBTTTTTGGTGATAAAAGTGAGGATTTGAGTTCGTTATCTKTGCTGCTGTTGTTTTCCGACTTCGCTTTGTTGTCTTCAAAACTGAGTAACCTAGCTATACTAGTTACTAGTCCCCCGCGGATATCGACACCTCGATTGAACGCGCAATGGCCGCGCGCACTCCAAAGTACAGAAATTATTCAAAAAATCTTCTTAGTTTACTTATATTGCTTTTATTTCTTGGAAATCTCATAAATCTGGAAWTTTTTGATAAGTAAGTAATTTTTTGGTTAAGTTGGCGCAGGGAGATAGACGGGAGGTTGGTGTTGATGAGCGCATGGGCGTCGTTTTGAGCGTTATGAGATGAGGTCGACTTTAGACAATTTGCTTAGAAATCTCAATCTTCCGTCTGTGTAGCCTAATACTTAAAAACCCTTAAAATGGAACACTGAGGGAAAGATGAGGAGTGGGGAGGGCACACAATGGACATCTTTAAATATATTTTTTTCGTGCCATCAGAGGGAAGTCTTAYAATGCCACACACACAAGTACTGACGCACGTTATGCTAATCATCACCGCCTTTTTTTTGACTCAAAACGACCGTTCGCTCGCAAAATTAATCAAGTCGTTATAAAACCGTTACAGACACGATGCCTTTAACTCCCCCAACAGAAAGAGAAGGCTCAAATCCGTATCAAAACTTTGCTGGATTTCCAGGTAAGAAATATATAGTTTTTCTATATTATCGTCTATTTTATTCAAAAATTGTTGCTTTTTTAAGCGCTCATGCTTACGATCACAATTAACTTCTACGCAACAAAAAATGTATTTGAAATTAARTTGCACTTTTTAATATATAATATGAATTATACGACGTCAAATGTTAAATAATAAACATTTCAGGTTAATTAACAAGTAAGGAAAATTTGGTGTTGTAAAAAGAGGCCTTTTATAAAAATAATAAAATCTCTTTCCAAGCAAAAAAYTATGGTACTATTTGTTTCCACTTAATATATATCAAAGGATATCTTTTCTTCTCTTTTTAAATCAAGTACATTAATCATRTTTGTCGTTAAGGGGACAATTGTACTGGGACGAATTTCTTTCAACGAGAGAAAAGAAATGGCGCGTTGTACGGTTAAATCATGTAGCAACATTTTAGTGAACATTTGTGAAAAAGGTTTAAAGTATACCTGCTGATTCTAACCTTTATGTGAATGATGCTGCTGGCGAACTAAAAACATTTAAATCTTGAGAGACGAAGCTTAAAACTCAATTCACATCATTTGGCCAAACTAAAATAGCTGTGTTAAGTTCTTTCCGTTCGTTTATGATCAACAAGAAGCTTGTATGACACGCCATTTTCCTCATTATATACCACAATGATAATATGATATGAGTTGAGGGTGTTGTATACGATATATAAACTCGAGCCGTCATTAGTTATCAAATTAAAACGTCTAGGGTTTTTTGTGTTTGACTACAACTTTAAGATAAAAATGAATCTGACAAAGAAAATAAAAATTAAATTTTATGCAAATTATGACAATTTTGTCGCATACATTCTATTGCGTTTTCCTCATGAATAATTAATGTGTTATGTAATGGTGTTTTTGTTCATCTATCCATCCATCCATCCATCCATCCATCCATCCATCCATCCATGCTTTCTACACCGACGACTTCTTCACCTCCTTCCTTTTCCCAGGTCGATGGACCGACAGCAGCTCTAAATCCACACGCACCCACCAAAAAATCGAGGTCGAAAAAACTGTCCCAAAACGAGATGACACCCCCACAGAACAACCAGAGCCCCAAAACACATTGGGCGGAGCACCAGCAAACAAGTTGTTCGGTAACGCTGACGACACTCATGATTACAAGGACGAATCAGTCTACACATTTTGTGGATCCTGCAAGAACCATGTTATGACGGAGGTACGGTTCCGTGTGGGGAAGATGACAGTGATTTCAGCGGGGTTCCTTTGTATGTTTGGTTGTGCTGCAGGGTGCTGCCTGGTGCCCTTCATGTTGTCACGATTCAGTGATGTGGTCCATTCGTGTCCCAACTGTCAGATAAAATTAGGAAAATATMGCAGAAAATTCAAGCATATCTTTAAAAACGTAAACGATATATAGTGCCAATCGATAAGCTTTATATATTTTGATTCAGATAAATAGAATACTGCGTTATTTTTAATCATATTTATATTTCTGCGACCGTCTTTCTTTTTGCGTAAAGAAATTCAATACCRAAAAAAATAGTAGCTACATAATAAAACGAATAAAACAGCTTTTTCCGTGCTTCGTTCAGTAATAAATCACTTAGGAAGCGCCGTCAGCACTCAAGAAAGGTGAGAAGCACTCGCCTCTACCCGTGTTTCTCCTTACACTTCTTTCGTGCTTACGTCAATTCCCGCGAGCTTTAATACTGAACGGAGCACGAAAAAAGCTGTTTTATTTGTTGAATATACGGTTATCACAATTGAAGACACCTAAAYTGTTACTCCATGTACAAGAATGAAGAACGCACTCAGTAAATCCGTAATTTGTTTCCCTTCCTTTAATGGGATACACAAACCAACCCGCACGCGTACTAACCATTCCCCAAGTTATCCGATAAATAATTCCCAACTAGAATTAAGTATTCAAACATTGTTTTYGTTTACCTTTTACCCTCCTTTAACCAGCATTCGGTACATTGAAATGACGTCACATCCACCAAGCAATCAGCGCGCGAGTTATTTTTTGCCTATCGCCTTTCACGATAACATCGCTTATTGAATCAGTGTATCATCGGACTTGACTTTGCCACTTTCTCACTGTGAACGAGCGCTTTTAAAAGTATATATTTGCGGTAGTTTTTATTTTCACATTCAAAAACGGCTGTTAAAGACATGTTTACACTACCTAGCTTTACCCATATCTTATTATTTCCTTAAGAATTTACATCTAAGGCCCCGTTTACACGAAGCCGGATATTTTTTTATCCGGGTAAAAAAAATGTGCGTTTAGATGCGGCTTCGTGTAAACGCTCAGCCTTTTCGACCGTTTACACGAAAACGCTCCATCGACTCGAAAACGCTCATAGGAGCTAAATGAGCATGCGCAWAGTTCCTGAGCCTGCGATCTCCCTTGTTTAGTGACGTCAGCGTTTACGAAATATCCGGCTTCGAGTGTTTACACGGAAACGCATAGCCAGCGTTTTCAAAAATATTCGCTTTGAAAAGCGTTTACGAAAATAGCCGGCTAAAGACCGTCTTCGTGTAAACGGTAGRCCTAAACGGATAAAAAATATGCGTTTACAAAAATATACGTGTAAACGGGGCCTAATGATCCATCCAGGATTCTAAATAATGTGCGCTTATTTTGTAGCACCATTTTACAAAATCTCTTAACTAAATTTTAAATAACTCATTAAGTACCCGGCTCGTAGATTGCTTAGATTATTTACACCGCTTACTTATGAGCGCCGTTTCTTATATAAATATATGCACATTTATTACATTATTTTTCGGAAGTTGCTTTGTTGATAAAAAAAAACGACCTTTAAGATAAGATGAAAGATGGACTGCCCAATGAACTACTTCGACGATACGGCGGCGATCTTGTCAGGGGGCAAGACAAAACAAAGATGACGGTAAATATATAGTTTCGTGTGTTTGTCCTTTCTTTTATAGGTAAAGGCGATGGATGTGCCCTCTTGATTCATATTTTGTTGTATTCTCTTACTACTGTAACAAAGCTTTATTTGCACCCTGGACGCCCTATAATGCCTTGCGATCCAAGATGGCTGACGTATCGTCGAAGCAGTCCTTTAGAAATAAGGACAAAACTCTGTATCGTCCAATCAAAATCGTACTCCGAGGACGTGCTACTGTGCATGCTCCGTAACGGATCAAACTCCACCCCAGCCCCCAGACATTATTGCTGTTCCTGGAACATGCGCAGTAAGAATGACAGATCTCTGGAGCAACGTAAGTGAAATAATGGTCAAAATGGCCGATATCTTTATAACCGGTAAACTGAAACGCTCGTATTATCTGTTGATATCGCGATTGTAATTTTGAGCAATAAACCCTTTGGAATTAATGTTTTTGCATTTCAGTCCCCGTGTAATTTCTATGGAGAAAAAATGTCTAGCGGCTAGTTCCTCGCGCATGCCCATGCTGCTTTCATGGTTGTATCCGATATTTTTTTCGTTTTCTCCCTGTGTTCAATAAATCGAAGTGTTTTTACAAATTTCTCGTTCAGTCCACCTTTCATAACAAAAATGTTCCATATTTTGACAAGCACCATTATTATACTCTAATTTCTTGAATGAATCCAATAGCAGAATCGCTCTTATTAACGTAGTCTTGTGCTAAAAACTTAGGTTTCCGTTTTCTATGTTTGAAAATAGCTTTATGAACCCATACAGGGCTACCAGGTGTTCGCATTGCATTCTGGGATGAACTTGTACCCAGTCTCTTAACCTTTCCCTGCTTTGCAATCCTGTCCGACCCAAAGTCATATGTATGTCTCTTATTGTAACGACCTGGCTTATTCTCTGCTTCTAAGTACAATACGTTTTCGAAGAGTGATGAACCACTGCTATCAAAACCATTCAAAGAACGACCTTGTAGCGATTTCGAGTCATTCGAATCTGTATCTGGCTGCGTAGACACGACCGGTGTGTCCACCTCTGGAGAAACCGACCGCGGTCGTTCGTCCAAATCACGCAGACTATCACTATCAGTACCCAAGTCATCCAGATCGTCAACTTCATCGAGATATGCCAAAGGTACAGATTCGCGAGAACGGCGAACGGTCGAGAATCTAGAAGGTGACAGGTCTTCAATCAGAACCACTTCGTCAGACGAATCCTCGCTCGGTTCCTCGTGTGAGCTCGGCTGACTAAGTTCTTCGTCAAAAAAGGTTGTTTCCAGCTTCGATTCTTCAGGCATTTCTTCTAGCGACAAACCATTTTTTTTGTAGTCGTTCAAGTCAGACTCATTATTTTGTTTCATATTTTTACGGAAAAGTCTTTCTTTATTTGCATCTTTTTTAACCCATAAAGGTTGTGAAAATTCATCAGTTGTGCCTCGATCTATGTAGACGTTTGAAGGCCGTTCTAATCCTCTTTCGTCGCTGTTTGGTTCAGAATTTATGTTTTCGTTACTCTCAAACCCATCCAAAATTGCGACACCATCGTTGCTAGGTAACGTCTCATCCAATGGAGGCTCTTTAATAGCTGGAAGCGCTTCGTCGCTTAGCAACCCAAATTCCTCGTGATCTTCTTGTATCTTGGAAAGTCGTTCGAATGATTTTCTCAACGAGCCAAACTTGCCTGGCTTCAGAGGACTGGAAACAAAATTATCAAAAGTAATGGTCTTATTGTATCGCTTTCGATTTTTGCCTTTCTTCTTGGCGCGTTTTGATTTTCTTGAGAGCTCAGCAATATCAAACGAGTGCCGCTTGTTGATTTCCTCTTCCTCGTTTCCTAGCGAATCTATAAGCATTTCGTCGTACGAATGGCGTCTGTTACGCGCGTTAGAGAGACCATCACTGCTTACATTACTTGACTCACTCTCATTACCCTCGTCCTTCACCGGAGGTGGGGAAATCTTCTTTGGAGGGTGCGGAGAAGGAGGGGCGTCCATTATATTCTCCATGACTTCTTCTTCTTCTTCTTCCTGAGAAGAACCACGCGATATTGCAGTTTCAGAATTTGCCGAGCTGTCACTCAATTTTACTCTGTTTTTGACATCTTTTTGGTGGTTCACAGGTGCTGGCTCTATTTCTTTGTCGCTGGATGATTTTGTTGGCRAGTCCCGTTCGTCCGAAAAAATCCCTTCGTCGGCAGTCGAAGTTTTGGGACCTCTGTACTCAGGTTCCTGGTTAGTTTTCGCGTTAACACCCATTCGATCTAACAAGTCGTTTAAACTATTCGTAAATGAGCTAAGACTGCTTTCCGAAGATAAGGAAATGCAATCCGAAGACACGAGGCTGTACCGATTACCAAAGCTTACCGAACCGTAATTGATTTTTGGAATGTCATCTTCTCCGTCGGAGATCACCTCGTCTTTCGTTTCGTCATCTTTATGCAACTTAGAGGCCAACATTCGCTTTGCTTTCTCAACTGGGCTTTCAACAGGTGAATCAGGTAGAGAACTTGGCTTTCCATCGTCGTTACAAGTGCAGGTCATTTCCGAGTTTGCACTGTTCTTAGGATTGTCAGCTAGTGATGATTGAGAATCACGTGGACTGAGTGCCAGCGGTGAGGCAGCAGTTATAACAATATCAGGTACTTCCTCGGTATCTTCTTTAATACTTTGCGCATTTCGTAGCAGCATCTCTCTCTCAGGGCTGTTGCGCCGTCCTTTAATACATGCACCATTCAAAGGTCGAATATCATCGTGATCCCAGTAAAGATTTCCAAGTTGGGAGTTATCACGAGGGAAAACTTCAAGCTCCATGTCACCGGCGGCTTCTCCATTCTCTTCATCCACATCACGGCTCATCAATAACTGAGGGTCTGAAGTAACGTCATAAAGTCCAAGCTCCCATCTCTTAATTCGAAAGCAGCAACAAAAATACAAGCCGTACATTTTTCGGCCGTGAAGAGTAAACCTCCGTTTACGTAGGAACATTCCTTTGAAGGTATGACTGTGATGATAAAATCTGTAGTACAAAACCATGAAGATGACGCCTAAAACAAACCCTCCCCAGACTGTAGCCAAGGCTGCGTAGGTCAAGGTTGGGCTGAGCGTTCTATTTGGATACCACATTGATATTAGCAGGGAATCCTCGACCAGCATCACGGAGTAGTATAGAACGATGCGCTTACGCGTCATGCCTTCTTTGGTGTTAAAGAAACAAAATATGTAAATGAATGCGATGATGGAGTTGAAGATCTTCTCTTTACAAGGATGTTCTCGGCCGTTTTCATCGATGCAAAACTGAGTTCTCTGACAGCTTAACCAAAGAGCCATCAATATCCAATGTCCAGCTACAGCCAGAAGCATCCACTGCTTAAAATGAGAAGCGAATAATACTAAAGCAACCACACGGGATGTGATCATACAGCCTCTCCAAAGAACTTGACAAGTAAAGCCCAACCACGGGAGATCCCGCGCATTGTCCCGTAAGTCCCGTAGAGCTTTACTATAACACACAAGGGCCCAAACAACGGATATAAATGAGGTAATCGCTGCAATGGCGATCATTAAGTCCTCTCCGATCACGAACGAGTTCCGCTGAGTGAGAACAAAAAGTTGGAGAACACATTGTGGAGCTGAATGGGCGAATGCTCCAAGGAGTCTTAGCATGCAGAGGTCTCTCCATTCTGTTACAAACCGCTCTTCAGCTCGTACAACTCCGCCATGTCGTGACAACCAGCATAACTTGATGGCTGACCAGTATCTGTGCACATCAAAAATATATRAGGTTTAGTGACCGACTTTAGCCAATATAGACCTTCTTCGTTGAGGTGCAGTGTTTATCCATTACAGACCACGTGTCTTCCCTAAAGAATAAGATTCTTGGTTTGAGTTGCAACAAGGAATTAAAAGAAATGATACTCCTGGCAAATGACACGTGTTCTTTAATGGAAAAGAATTGCACCACGACGAATAAGGAATGAATGACACAGTCATAACCACAGGCGACGAAGCTCAAAAAAGGTTCGAGATCCTGCGAACCCCCTTTCTGTCCTAATTTGAAAAATGTGGAAAATTATTAACCCTTTTTCCTGATTAGCTTTTCAGCATCTTATTAACAACCCTGCATCCTGATTGGTTGTTAAGCATTTCATTAGTAACACTGCTTCCTGATTGGCTGTTAAGATTCTTATTAACAACCCTGCAACCTGATTGGTTGTTAAGCATTTATTAGAAACTCTGCTCCTGATTGGCTGTTAAGAATATGATTAAAACCCTGCTTCCTGATTTCCTGTTAAGCAACGCAGTAGCAACCATGCTTTTGATTGGCTATTGAGGATCTCTTTGACAACCCTGCTTCCTGATTGGCTAGTGGCTTCCTACTGTTTCTTGGTTGGCTAGCTAGCTAGCTATAGCACCCCACTATTTTCTGATTAGTTTTCCCACTATTTCAATCTAAAGAAAACGGCACTGACTGGCTGACCTCAGGCATCGTACCTATCTTTGATATAGCTGATAAGACATTAGCGCGTAATTAAGTAATACACTTTGACATGCACTATACTATATAAAAGAACTAATGCGGTTTACATTGATCACGCCAAACGATAATATTCAAACTCAACATTGCAMTGAACATTCCGTCATTCATCATCTTAAACCTTCAAGCCTAATTAGACTAAGCGTGAGTTGTAGTGCTTAAATATTATTTCAACAGACAATTCGGGCCCGACTTGTGCCGAAAATAATCTAAAAAAGGCGTTGCTGGTGATAGATAAATAAGTTTTAGAATGCTGTTTGTTCTTTCCAGTCCATGCGTGCACATTTATACCGTCTGATGCGCAAAGTTCATTCTACGTGTGCTTTGTTTTCATTGGCGTTCTATTGTGATTTTTTTTGTCTCAGTGTTGTCCTATTATTACGGCCTCCCAGCAAAGATTTATATATTGCGATACTGCCACGCTGATGTGGATCAAATCAGATCTAGACTAACGAGTTTTTCTCAAATATTCATTATCATGTATGAACTGAATGGTTCCAATTTTTCTTCGCCTCGGGCCTCTAGCTCCCCCACTGTCATTTCTGCGCCCTATTGTGCTCTACATAAGAAGGTATTTGTCTTTGATTGTAAACTCCGAGCGGTTTTAACTCCAAAAATATACAATTAGCATTAAAAAACTATTACCTAAAGAGCAGTATTTTGACCTTAAAGTCTTTTTWAAATGTTAAAAATAATTACGGAACGGCTGATGATCAATGTCTTTTGCAATCATAAATATTAGCTTTCGTTCATAATATGAATCTTCCACATCAAAGTGTGGAGGTTGCTAAGCAGAGAGTTTCCCCACCTAGTGTGAGCTGATATTTGAAAAAGAAAAAGTCACGAATTGTATTGTACCGATATTGATCTTCTATCGCCATTTTTAGCATCAACCAAAACGTACCGTAAGTTCACTAAGCTATTTTCTCGGCATTTTTCTCAATGGACATTAACGTTCGATAAATTAAGTCGCTTGAAGCAATATAATTCATAATGAAGGGTCTTTAAAATGGGTTTTAAGATATTACTCTTAATTTGTATAGTCTAATTTTTTTTCATTCTCGTGAAAATTGCTGTTTTGAAAATTATTGAAGTTTAGGAGCATGTCAGTTTTGTTGTGGTTGTTTTCCGTCCTGTTTGGCAGGGAAGAAAATAAATAAAAACTCCAAACCTTCCCTCGAAGTAAAAACTGCAGACACTCGAGACTCAGGGAAAGGAAGTTAAGGKTTTACAAGGTTTTTTTATTTCCACTTACAACAATATAAATTATACCTAAAAAAGGATAAGGGTAAATTATTATAGCTTCCTGCACCCTAGTATTATCAGGAAAGAATATGGTTGAAAGTAGCGGAAAAGAGAATTACAAAATGTGAATAAGTATAGTTTGAGAATTTAGAACATTGAAAATTGAATACAAATAATCCATGATACACAAGTAAGCAAAATATGTGTTTTAAACATCTTATGAGATGAGCTTGCTTTTATTTCAAAAGGCACATCGTACCAGCTTACCGCACTTGCATATTTCACGCCAACTTTACCATACTTCAATTTTACATGGGGCAAAGAAAGATGTCTATTTGATGCAGAGCGAGTATTGTAGCTGTGAGAAATTTGAACGTCTTTAAAATAGTATTTGAAAATGTCGGGCAACTGTCGATTTACATGTTTATATGCAATTTCACAGAGCTGAAACTTAACTATCTCGAAGATGTTTAAAATTTCCAGTTTTTGGAAGAGTGGCCTACTGGGAAGATAATAAAGACTGTTAACACTAGTCACACAAGAGCCAATAAAGACAAATTAAAAAAGAAACAGAGCAGAAAGTGTTTGTTCAAGGCTCTAATTTGCATCTAGCAATCAAAAGTGTCGTGATTTGTGGTAACGGTRAGTTCTATAGAGAAATTCCACAATGTTGACAACATAACTTAATAAACTGGAACAACAAATTAAAATAGCTGATTGAAACCAATATTGGTAATTTTTGTTCGAAAAGTAAGAAGTGTTTTTAATATAAGAGAGCTAAGGAGTAAAAGGTGTGAGAATTTTGCGTAATGTTTGCAGAAGCAAAGTCAGTTTAAGTACTTTCTGGCGTCGTTTCAGTTGTCAAAATGAAAAAGGAGACTTAACGTAGAATTAATGTGGGAACGAAAAAATAAATCGGGCGTCGACTGTCACCTGAGAAACCATGGCATGGAAAACTCTAGGAAAAATAAATTTATTTTTATTTGAATTTTAACAGCAAAAAATAAATCTGATTTGAATGTCAACTGCTCTTGATCCTAAGTTTGGTTCCTGAGTAATGTATGAAGAGATAARAAAAAAACTTTCCCTTTCCGGCTTTAAAATCTTTTCAAGTATCGTTTCCAAGAAGCTAAAACCATCTTGTATTTAAAAACAACTAAAACGTTGGATATTAATCATTATTGCAGCTAAGGATTTCCATAAATACTAAAGCAAGCTATCAGTCATAAATCATGTGCAACGACGCGTCCTGCTGATCTTCACATGACGAGACCTTTTGTGAATAAAATAAAAATTTAAGCACAGTTTGAAAAACAATCGATGGGAGCCAAGCTTTTTGGTTGGATCAATGTCTAATAAAAAGACAAATGGTACTTTTTAAATAGGATTCGTCATGAAAAAYAGTATCATAATGACCTGCTCATTCTTTTGAGCCAAACATTTAAAGCGGTCAACCGTATTTTGTATTTTTCCCTCAAAAGTGCTTGGCAAAAACCGCTATTATAAATATTCCCATGGTACTGGTATATAGCTATTATGCTTTCTAGATCCACAGAGCCTTGGCAAATGTTATAAAAGCATCACTTACAAATCTACTTCCCGATTAGAAGTAAAGACTCGCAAAATAAACACTATTAAAGACGGTTTGGTTGCAGTGGTGATTTGGTTTGATAAACGAYCTGAGACATAACAAAAGACACCTATGGCTTTTCGTTAATAAGAAAAGTGAAGCTATATTACAGCACGCTCTAGAAGTCGATCTAGAGATATCGTAGACTAAGATTGCATGCAACTCTAGGCGAATATAGATACGATTATTACGAATTAAGCAAACGGAATTAGGGAAAACACAACAGCTGTTGATAAGTTTGATGACAAATGCATCTCATGAAAAATRCTTCATATTTACAGTTTATTTCTGCCCTAAAGAAATGCGAACTCAAACAAAGTAGAATGATTGGCGCCCAAGGCTTTAAGAAATAATCATGATATCTAAGCTTATTATATTTTCCATCGACTCTCGAAGGCGGTATATTTATGCTAYATTATCGTTTCCGACCATTTGGCATCCTTAATACTTATCTGTATAATTTGAAGTGTTTTCCGAGATTGAAATTTTACGAAACTAAACCAAAGCTTGACTAGACTCAAAAACTCTTAAGTATTGTTATAAGAAATCTTTAAAACTGAAAGATTTAAGAGGAACATTTCTTTAAAATAATAAGAATGGTTCTTTTGATTGCGTCTGGTTGTGTGTACATTCAAGTTTGGAATGTGTTAATTGTTTTAGTACCTTGGCCATGGAGAAATAATATCCAAAGCATTGTAAAGTATACAAATTTAGGTACTTCACAGCTCGTATACAGCTTCATTTCAAGAAGTATAGATTCACAATCACCATTAAAGATTTCGCTTGTTTGAAGTCTACTGATTAACTTACCGGTAGAGTGGTCCTRTTTGAAACAGATGTACCCCAAATAGCTTGAACGTGGACTTCTTGCCATCATCATAAAACCACTTAATAGAGAATATTTGCAAAATAAACGAGGCAGTTGACACCAACCCTAAAGTCAAGCCAAAATACCAATAATTACGCTGACTGTAGTACTGTACTGACACAAGAACATCTGAACAAACGTCTGCAATAAAAGTTATCACAGAAACAACCAGCCACAAGTCTGACATGAGCGAGATAGGCTGTTCATCGTGACCTCCGATGCCAGCACTGAAAGGTGCTGAAGGTTTGAGTCTATCCGTTTCAGGGTCATTTCTAGAGGAGCTTGACATAAGGAGTTCATGATTTGTGCTTTCGTTCGGATCCCGCTCATCTTCCAGCGCCATGATCCAGTRTAACTTCACTTACTTCACCCTTGTCTTGTGTTGCTGAGACCGCGAATGTATACAATTCCCTCCAGCGGTAATGCTTCACAGCACTTACTCATGTAAATATTTTAGACAAATATTAATAAAATACAGGTTGCTATGGCTTTCACTCGTAATTATAGWCTTTTGATGATATTTCACAGCCTTTTCGCTGTTTAATTATCTTGTAGCAACATCTTTTTTCTTTTTTGCTGATAAATCTAATGACTAAACGCAGGCACTAAACGYTTGTATGGACTAGCACGTTCCCAAAACCTGTCATTTACCAGCAGAATATGTCCAGACACCCAATCACTAACACCAACTTGCTTGTGTTGAAAAACATCAAAATGGAAGAGGAAAAGTTTTGATTACCAAAGCAAAACTTCGAATCTTGTTATTTTCTAAACCAGGAATACTCGTTTTACTATAGGACTATCGTTTGAGCTTTGAAGACACGTACGACAGCGGAAACTACTACTGCAAACTTATAATTGTTTTTTGTCCGTGTTGTAACAATATCCGGGACGGAATCATAGTGTTACTTGATCCAAAATCCTTTTGAATATATCCATCCAGGTGGAAACTAATMTCCCAAACAAATATCTTGTACAGATATTAACAGCCACTTCATCCTCACAAAGATTTCATTATAACTAACAGAAGGACTAGAAATAGTTTCATTGAAGCCGTTATGAGCGAGTAAAGTGTTTGGAAAGCACGGAGAATCGAGCGTTCTCGATATACAAATTAGACTCTTTTCCTAAACAATCCCTATTAAGGGTATTATTGATGGACAGATGAACACATTTATGATGGATTTATGCATCAATCCTAGACTGAACACCTGTCCTAATGTTGTCGAGTCTCGCCCTATGCCCTCAGTCGCGATGAGCTCTGATAAATCCCGATAAAATGATAAAATTTTTCATATCGAACGAGGGAGAARTGCTATTAGTTACAGATTAGTAACCTTTTAGTCATAGAGTATCCTTTTTTCTTTCTTTCTTTTCCCAAAAAAATAGCTCTAGTATTTTATTTCATCTTTATCGGCATCTATTCCCTCATGGCGTCGACTGCCAAGTCTCTATCACTGAAAATTCACATGCAGAGAGCTCTATGTCAATTTGCTTTTATCAAAATTCATAATCTTATCTTTTACCGGCTTTTACCTAGTATTTTAATGTATATCTTCACATTGGGGTTTTAAGGGACATGTTTTTGACAACCAATCAAGGCTTTCATTGCCCATTTTGCTATAGAATGTCATATCTGGGCACAAAGTTGTTGATTATTCATTCTGCTATATTTGAAGTCTCGATTCTTATATCCCTGAAATAGCACAAAAAACTTAACACATATATTTCTTTAATTTATTTTCAACTCTTTCTTTGGAGCTATTCTGTACTAAGTAGCTATTACTATTTATGTTTTACACTGTACTAGCTAGCCATAGTGCGTCCGTAATTAATGTCTGCTTTCCGAGATCCAAACAAAGACCCCAGGACTCGGATTTTTTTTATTTCCAAATAATTATACTGTCACCCGCGTATCAGCATATTTATCAAACCGCAAAACCAAGTAAATCACAATAAGTAATATGAAACAAAAAAATACGTTTATTATTTCATTCATTTCATATCCTGGCAGACTTCTTAGAGACGCTTAGTAAGGTTTTTAATTTTCAAAATTTTAAGTTCACTGGGGCTGAATGTTTTTTTGAATGCGTTGGAACTGCGGATTTTCCAAATGAAATATATATTTTTCAAAGATTAACTTAACTGTTTTCTAATGACTTCCTTTCTTTTTCAAGTGCACTCGATCTGCTGCGGTTATCAAGATACATGCAAACGCGGACTATTCATTTTGTATTTCTTTTTAGCGGGTTACCTGTGATAAAAACCGCTCAAAAAATACCTTTTTAATGAAATTTTTTTCTAAAACTGCATAATTCCGAGAAATGCATTTGGTTGAATAGCGTTCAATTAAAATCTCCGTTGTTTAATTATTCCTCACATTTTGATAACTCATTCGCCTACATAAAATTCTCTTTCATTTTACTGCGTCATTTAAAAAATTTCGTTTCTTGCAGCGAGATTTTCTAATATGGCTGTAAACAATTATTACGTTTCGTTAACTTAATGGTTATCATTAAAGGTTCGTATTAGTCACTTGCCTGGAGCCWGTTTTTGAAAACAAATGACTGAATTAATTAATTTCGTCGGAATGGAAAATATACGGTACTGACTTGCCGTGTGTAAATGGTCCATGCATGCTGTAACACTGAAGTGGATTCCCATTCATGGTTGTCTCCAATTATCATGAATGGAAAACCATTCAAGTGTTGCACCATTTTTACAGAAACGTACCAATGTCGTTACCACGCTGAAATAGTTTCCTGATTCATGGTTGTCTCCGATTATCATKTAATTTAAAGTTTCCAATTCATGATACTCAGAGACAAATATAAATAGGAAACCATATTTTCAGTGTCATATGTACATGTCGCAACATTTAAATGGTTTCCCATTCACGATACTCGGATACGACCATGAATGGGAAACCATTTCAGTGTTATGACTTGTACATATGTATTTGAAATTGTCGCAAAACTTAAATGGTTCAACACTATACCCAGGGGCGTAGCGAAGTCTCGATTATAGGGGACAATGTACCATTTTCCCGCCAAATCCACAGGAATCCCGCAAGAATTAATTAATTTGGTGCCGAAAGCAAATTTTTGGGTTCCCGTGCCCCCTCCCTGCACTAGCGCATATACAATTGACGGAAATGATCTTCCATTCATAATACCCGGAGATAACCATGAATGGGAAACCCGTGTGTCAGTGTCACGAAATATACGGGATTCTTTGAAAATTCCGTATCAATCAATGGTTTCTTCCTATATTCATGATCATGGTTGTCTCCGAATATCGTGATTGGGAAACCAATTCAATGGTATGTCGCACCGTGTGGTATCAAAGTTCATGTTTCAATTGTAATCTAAAAAAAAAACAAAAATATTTGAAAACTTATATATCTCGTAGTATTTCAGCACTTACCTAAATGCCCTGGTATTCTCCTTGGTTTATATGCTGTCGTAGTTCTTGTAGATTTAGATTGACAGACCTTTCACACACCAAAATGCATGTGCATGCCCTTCCTTTTCTGTATTGTCCATGTCAGGAACCCCGGCTTTGCCATTGCACTTAGGGAAAAAAATCACATACCCCCCCCCCCCCTTATTGTAATATTAGTKCATTTGAATGCCTGCTATCAGGAATTTCGTCTCAGTTATAAGCCCACTGTATTACTTAGTACTGTGTAGCCCCATAGCACATTGACAATGCAATATACTTAGATTATACTGTTTCTGAGCACATTTGCATTTCAGTCAAAGCTATTACAGTTATTGCTGTATGAAACACTTTTTAACACACAACTGGGCACAAAGCCTGGATAGTGCTATCCAGCAGATAAATTCTTATCCAGTGGATAAGTCGATGACATTATCCAATAAATTTATCCATCAGATAGCACTATCCAGGCTTTGTACAACTGTGCCCAAATTTCAGACAATTTTCCCTTCTTTTGATAACCTACCCCCACCCCCCCCCCCCCAACCCTATTACAAGCCTCCCTGACCATAAGCCCAACCGAAAACCCTACTGAAAACCCTACAGCATATGGTATCATGTCTTAACATTTAAAACCTGATAAATTCAAATAGGCTTTATAAATCTAATTCCATCAATTTATTAGTATTTCAAATAATTATGAAAACAACTTTCTATTTCCTCCAATCAACATGAGATTTACTAAACCTTTATATTAAACAATAATATTTWACATTTCTCTCTTTCATATTATTTAACCAATGATATAAATAAGTAAAATTATTTTCAGATTATAAAATGTCCACAAATAATAAATTAAAATAACCTTTTTCTATGATATTTTATGTTATGGATGTCTTCGTAATAGAAATTTCCAGCAAATTATAATTATTTGTATAATTATTTTTATAATATTTACACCACACTAATTAAAACAAAACTGCTTATTTCAACATTCTTATCACAATCACCAAGTTAGAGCGCAAATATTTGTATAGGAAATCACACGATCTCGAGTACAATTTGGAAATTAATAGACACGCRAGTCTATTAATTCCAAATTGTATGAGAAGAACGTGCGATTTTTTGTTTATAGTTCACTCAACAAAATTTCAGTAAAAAATGCGAAGCGACGCCGTTCATCTTTGTCTATTTGGCRGCCGATTTCCAGTCCATCATGCAACTGAAATGCATRAAAAAGAGTAGTTCTTACGGCTTTAAAATTTTATTTATGCTTTTTAAGTACAAAATGATAGAAAATAATTGTTTTGACATTGTTTTGGCTGCGTTGCCATAGCGACTTAATTCGGTACTCCTACGGAGYACAATTRACGCTATAATTGTACTCCTCTCGACCAATCAGAGTCTAGTAATTTTGTTGAGTGTACTATAAAATTCATTAAAAACAGTTCTAGTTATTTAAAGCTGAATAGCACGAACCAAACAATAATAATTGAAAACAAAGGATTTTTCACCAATTTGCACTATTTAGCTTAGTAATGCAACTACTCGGACTAACGTTCCTACTTTAGCTTATTACTGTTTCACTGATCAATAGGCCAGATGGGTCATCTGACTCCCATGACCAAAATGCCTCTTGAATTTTCTTTCTCATTGAAATTTGTATTCCCTCATGAGAATAGTAAGACAATAAGCCTGAAGTGAGATGACGTTTTACCCCCGTCTCTAGACCATAATCCTTTTCACACTGCTTTTGTTCTTTAATTATGACTATTGTTCCTGTATTCTCTAAGGAATCAAAAATTTTAATATGAAAGAATTTTAAAAACTATTATGGTATGCAGGGGGGGTTCGCCGGGGGTATAATGTCATCTCACTTCAGGCTTATTGGTACTAATAAACTAAACAAAAGAAAATGTGCAAGGGAGTCTGGTAGTAGAGATCAATGACGCCATCATACAAATGTCCTATTGTTGTGCTCTTCTGCAGTAATCACCATCATCATCATATCAACAGTCATCATCATCTTAGCTCAACATGATCATCATAATGA